AAGGAGGAGGAGGAGGGGAGAGGACTGGACATGCGCGCCTACCGCACATTCAGTCCCAGCAAGATAGCATCAACAGTTGTTCTCCTATTTTCACAGTGGGAAATAAGCAGGTACTAGCTGTATTGGAATAATCAGAAGGAATCTAGGTCAAAATCAAAGCAAGACTGCTCCTGTCCATTTCACAAAACTCACATGCAAACACAATACCCATGTAAAAACAAAGAAGTTATTTGTAGCAGTTATTTCTGTTAGGTTTGCTAAACAAGCGTGCAGACATTGGCCTACCTCGAGTAAAAGGCACTATTCCTTCTCTGTGACTTCTGAAAAGGCATTCAAAATCAATATAAAATTGCAATATTAGGAAATTTTATAATCATTATTTCAAAAAAGCAGACTTGAAAGGGTCTCTTGTTCATGGGTAAATCTTCAGTTAGTTTTTCTAGTACCGGTGGTTCAATCGAAAGATTCGCCAACTGCCCCCTGGAGAAAACTGAAGATCTTCATTTAAATGGAGATATAGTATTTCCAAATGCACAGTACCTGCAAGGCAGATACTGTCAAGGTTTCTTAGTCAGTGGATCTCAAATTGTATTAGGTACATTTCAGTGCCATAACTATCCTCATTTCATAGGACTGGGGATATTTCCATATCATTTTTTTCCTGTATGTGGGCTTTGTAATATTTGTCCTGGTAAGACAAAATTAAACCCCCATCCACAACAAAGCCCTCACATAGCAACAACAAAGAATTAAAACCTTATGCATAATTTTCTGATGGGGATGATGAAGACTGTATTAGATGGCCTGACTGAAAATCTTAAATAATTGAAAACTCTGATGACTTAATAGAGTAGCGAGCTTGGTTTACAATGCAGCCAATTTAGAGCCATAAAAACACCGTGTAAAATGTTTATCTTGTGGTTGACCATTACATATCCTATTTATTATTCCAAAGTATTTCAACAGCATTTTTCTTCATCAATGTGGCTGCTGGCATTTAGCACTCACTCGCTCAATTCACGTGATTTTCCTGGAACAGCTTTAGGAAAAGAAAACAAAAAATTAGCAGATCACTACAAAACTGCTCCTTGCTACTATATGCCTCTTTTTCACATTCTGACTTGAACCGACTTCATGTGCTGCAAAATACGTTTGAAACCACCGAGGCCAAAATATAATAAATCAAAGCCATATTCGTGAAGTTAAAAAGACTGGTGCAACTACTGATCCTGCCACATCAGAGAACCAAAAAAAAAATCAAACCTCATGAATACTTTGTTGCTAATGTACATGAGTTCAAAGAGCAGTGTTCCTCTTAGGAAAACATCTTAATTTTCATATCAGAAAATCATCCTAACCTTCCAAAAAAGTTTTTACGATTATGCAAGGAAGGCAGAGAGAAGGTTTAGAGTGCAAAAGACACTCGTGATGGGTTTCAGACTCGCAGGCATTAGTCCAGGCAGCCTCTCGCTGAAATTCAGGTTGCAATTGAAATGTCCCTGTAAACAAGGTTACTGCGAACGGCCCAAGATATCCTTCTCAGCAACACCTTCACCAGGAGCCCTTCAGCTGTCTACTTAGTTTGTTATACCTTATCTCACAGCCCTGACATCCTAATGCCGATTCAAATTCGGGATGCAAAATGAAAGACGAAATATCTCTAAGATCACTTAATATTGAAATACCATTGCAGTAATAAGTGGTGCCAGGCTGGAGATATGGATATAGTACTCTAGTGGTAACCTTTTAATTTCTGACAAAATACTGTGGAATAACTGTGATACTCCACAGACAGTTAATGCAATTGATTTGTTTTCCTTATTTTGATAATGAGCACACTGAATGTCGTGCTTACCTTCTCCTGCCCTCGGCACATTTTTAAAGTCCTCTAAAAGGAGACTTGCCATATTCCTGTACAGACATGAAACACCTCACACCACGGAGCCCCCCCTACCAGCACGCTGAACCCCAGCTACCCTGATGCTCCCAAGACAAGGAAGATCATAACCATATGAGTCGCTTCGTCATTCTGTCTTTGACTATTTTCAGTGGAAATGCAGTGCACGTACCATGTATAATCTAATGTAGGTTATATTGTAAACTACTCCCATTCTCAAAGTGAGGGTAGGCATGCTACACCAGAACATTTTGTCCTCTGAAATAAAACAGGGGAGTAACGAAGATTGTATCAAGCAAGTTTTGTATGTTGTATTTTAAACAGGGTAGCTAATAAATGCCTAAAACTTTGGTGGGTTTTTACAAAGGGCACTTGGATTTCCCTCCCAGTCACAGACACTGACAGGCTGAAGTGCAGGAGGGCGGGGGTGAGACAGGGGGGTTGTATTCTGCTTTTCTGTTGTGCTTTGCTTACTGTTAGAATATCCTTAATAGTATCAAAAGACAGGATTCCAGGGGTAGGGGTGCAGCGGGACAATACAGGGGAAGGAGAGAATTACAGGAGAGAAACCCAAGCTGCTGAGTGCCTCCCTTCCCACACTACCATTCACCTTCATTTTCGTCTCCTTTATATTCTACTCATTTTTACTTGCCTCCCCCATTATTTAGTCATCTCTTAAATGCAGTCCTCTCTTTTCTGGAATCACGAAAAACATATTAACTAGAACCAGGAGACGGAGTGCATCCCCTGCAACACTTCAAAATGTACCACCAGACCAGTCATGCCTTCATGGCACTAATGACCAGGGGAAAATAAAAAATAAAATTAATTAAAAAAAAAAAATTACAAAAGTGAATAAAATTCCTCACCGCCAGGTCCCACTCAGACCCCACAGGCAGCCGCTGCCTCAAATGCCCCCTCCTCCCCACGGCCGGCGCTGGGAGGGCCAAGTGCCGGGAGGAGCGGGCAGTGCGTGGACTTTGCTCACTTTCCTTGC